TCAATAAAATTAATTTCATTTCATTAAAAATAAGTTCAGTTCAGCAAAAATAATTTCAGTTCAGTAAAAATCAGTAAATGTAAAGAATAAATATAATAGAGATTCAGTAAAAATAGTTTCAGTTCAGCAAACACAATTTCAGTTCAGTAAAAATATTTCACTTCAGTAAAAATCAGTAAATGTAAAGAATAAATATAATAGAGATTCAGTAAAAATAATTTCAGTTCAGTACAAATAATTTCGGTTCAGATAATTTAAGTTCAGCAAAAATAATTTCAGTTCAGTAAAAAAAGGTAAAGTGAAGCCTAAGTGGCCATTCTTTAAAGAAAAAAAAATCATACTAACGGGCAAAAATATTTTCCTTTAGTTTTATTTGTGGATGTGGACCAATTTATAACATTTTCTTATTAGGATTATTACACTAAAAAAAAAAAATTAATATGGAGCAATAATTATAGATACATTAAGGAACCATTACGGAAACATCAAATTAAGGGTGCAGAAGAAAGATGTCATCTATAACTAGGGTATAAATTAAATCCTTAATGCGAATAGACAATGTGAATTAATTCACAAATAGAAGAGAAAATTTAAAGATTGCTTAAGATTTGCTAGTCCAAAAACAAAGCTCAAAATCGGTTGAAATTTGAGCATGCCATTTTTGTAAAATTTCTAACAATGCAAGAAGTAGATGATGACGAGGAGACACTATTTTTCTTTCCCCTATCCTAATTCATCATTGTTGCTAATCTAATTCATCATTTAACAGTATAGAGAAAAAAAAATATATAGTAGTGAAAGAAATGAAAAAGGAAAGAATATTATTTATTGACTTTATCTAATATGAGACCTATGTTTTTGTGAATTAACTAGTATAGTACCTGAGAATTGCACGGTTTTAAAAGTTCAAATAACAAATCTCACAAAATCAACTAAAGTTAGCTTAATGCACAATAGTGAAATACTATACATTAATTGATAATTCATTACAGTAAAGTGTACTCATCTTATCATAGTACCCGTGTCATAAATATAATGTGAATGAAATAGTTTAGTTGATTTTGTGATCATCGTACCCATATCGAACACGCAATACACAAAATCCCTATGGATTCGAGTACTTTGATAGTTTGATACATAGTTTTAAAGCAATTTTTATTCAGTTTGAGCAATTTTTGAATGATTTTTCGTTTTCTTAAAATTAGAAAAAAATTGTCAAGAATAAAACGACCTTTCATTTGTCTTTCAAAAATAAACGACTTTTTGATTATTCCAGAATGCATCTGCTGAAAATAGAATGTTATCGGTTGGTAACCTAATTGTGTCACTTGTTGTTATGTAATTGGTTATTATTTATTTTATTTTTTTTTACAATTTTCTTTTTAAAAAATTAATATTATTAAAAAAAAAAAAAAAAAAAAACAGCCCCCATTCCCATCAGTCCATCACCACCCCACGCACCACCGCCAGCCTTCACCACCACCCCCTCCAGCCGGCCGAAACCCCAGCCCTCGTCACCACCCACCACCACCACCGAAATCCACCACCACCGAGTCACCCCAGCCCCGACAAATCCCACCCCAGGCCCCACCAACATGGCCGAAAACCCCACCACACACCCCATTAGCCGGCCGAAAACCCCTCGAGCATTTGTTTTCAACAACTAGTGGATAACATCGCTAGGGTATAAACTATGTCCTAAGCTAGAATACGAGGCCCAGTTTGAGTCTTTGAGAACTCAAATCAAACTTAATGCATAAATTGGATAGGGTCATTCATTCAAATTATGGCTGCTATTTGCAGATTAACTCTGAAAACTAACTGAATCTAATAAATAATCTCGGCGTTGCGGGGAAGCGAGAGAGGGAGGGGGAGGGGGTTGGTGACGTTGCGGGTAGCGGGAGGGGATGGGCTGGTGCTGGTGGCGTTGCACGGAGGAGGGAAAAGGAACGCCACCAACGGAAAGGGAAGGGGCTGAACCAGCTGGGGAGGGGGAGGTTTAATTTTTTTTAAATTAAGTTTTTTTTTTTTTTTTTTTTTTTTTTTTTTTTTTTTTTTTTTTAAACCATTTTATTTAAAAGAAAAATTGAAAAACTAAATTAAAAAATCCTAAGCAATAAAAATGTGATACGTGTCCGGTTTAACCCATGATATAGGTTACCGGTTATTTATTTTATTTATAGAAGATGTATGTCAAAGGTCGTTTTATTCCGGAATAATCAAAATGTCATTTTACTTTTAGAAGACCGGTGAAAGGTCGTTTTATTCTGACAATTTTTCCTAAAATATACGTAGTAGAAATTGTCAAACGATTTCCGTAGATATTGCTTAATTATAAACTAATTCCCTATTTGCGTCGATTTAAAAACTTATTTCCACGGTATCGTCTACGTAGGTTTGGTACCAGGTTTTTTTTTTTTTTTTTTTTTTTTTTTTTTTTTTTTTGTTCAGCAAAAAACCGCTAACGGCAATAGAACCTGTTTCGCGGTTTTCTGAGGTGTCCTACGGGAGAGTTACAGCACCGGGAATGTACGCCTGACGTCTGTATCTGCAAAACCACGAAACTCCGGTTGGGTGGAGTTCCGCCTTTGACGGTCAAGTTAGTATGATTCCGGATGAAATTACGTACGGAAGGTAAATTGGTTCTCTCGGATTTCGGGAGATTCCGCAATTAATATTGCTCGGGTTTTTGTGGGCGTATTTATGAATCATCAATGAATAAGGTAGATTCCTCTATTTATAGCAGATGGGTCTGCTCCCCCATTGGGGGTACAATGTCGTGGCGTCCATTGGTTGGATGCCCATGGTGCAATAGGGTGATGACACGTGTCAGACCCCTATAGGGCCACGTGTCCAGGGTAATTTTTACCTTAAACATTTGCCCCTCACGGGTGCTAACGTGGCTATGCCACGTGGCACCTGTGACACGTGCCAACCGAGCAGGAAGGCGACGATTCGCCTCCCTCCCCCTCTTTTTTCAAATTTCAAACTAAGGGGAAAGAGGAGGTGACGGTTCACCTTCTGAGATCTCCTATAAATAGGCATCCCCCTCCTCTCATTTCTCACTTTGTCATTTTTGAGAGAAATTTCTTGAGTGAGAAAGCGAGAGCTCTTGACCCCGCCTGCTTACTTGTGCAAACAGCCGTTCTTTCCGAATACCGCTTGAGTTACGCAGTCCGTCTCACTAAGGTATCCTTCTGACTCAATCGGTCTTTTTGATTGAATGTTTGATTATGCTGCAACCGGCTTTTGCCGTCTGGAGCTTTTTAGGCAATTTTTTATAAATTGCATCTATTGAAAATCTCAGCCGGTGTAGACCGTCTGAGTTATCTTCTGGCACTTGTTGAAGTTGCACTCAATAGACCCTCAATCGGTTTACACCGTCTGGGGCATCAAACAAGCAATCTCTGGTGAGTTGCATTTAATAGACCCTCAGCCGGTGTAAACCGTCTGGGGTATCTTCAAGCAATCTCATTGGTGAGTTGCATTCAATAGACCCTCAGCCGGTGTAAACCGTCTGGGGTTTCTTTGATCAAACTTTCTTTTGGCCTGCCTTGCTGTTTACCCCGCCGGTCTCACACCGTCTGGGGGGTGAGCAAACAATTTCTTACTAAACTGTTTTGTTGTGACCCCTGACCGGTCTTTGCCGCCTGGGGTGCCTTGAAACAACCTTCACTTTAACGAATACACAGCCGGCCTTCAGGCCGCCTGTATTGGCTTCACTATTACTTTGAGCTGTCTTTTTGCGAAACTCAGCCGGTTTATGCCGACTGGGGGGTCTTTGCCCAATCTGATAAAAATCCTAGATTATTTGCTTTTGCCAATCTCACCCAACCGGCTTTTCCCGCCTGTGGTATCTTTGGGCAACATTGGTGATTAATTTTCCTTCTTTTGCCAATTTGCAGTTCGCTCAAAGTGATACCGTTTGGGGTATCTTTGGTCAACAACCGTCTCCAAATTTCTATTCAATCTCAAGGTAACGTCTTGGTTGTCTTTTTTGGAGTTTATTTTTTATTCTTTTGGCTATAAATACCTTAAAATAATGACCTCACCCATCACACACACGGCACACCACAATTTAGAGGTCAGCTGGTCTCCTGGTACGGCTGAATCTAGGACTGGGGGTGCCGCCTCTAGGTACGGGGAGTCTCCTTGTTCATCTTCGAAACCGATCGTCTCTGTCTCTGTGCAGGACGCAATGGCTCGCACAAAAAAGACTGCCTTCGATGCAGAGTACAGAGAGGCAGACTCAGGCGAGCTGCCGCCTGACCCCAGCCAGACAGAGGGGACAAGAGATTCTCCACCTGGCACCCCAAGCACTCCCAGTGATGGGATTTTAGGAATAGGAATGGGAGGTGACAAAGATGTCGCCTCACCTTCTAAAGTCGAGCTGGAACACCAAGAGGGTGCCAGCGACGACGAGGCCGCCTCCTCATTCGGTAGAGAGCAGAGCGGCAGCAGCAGCAGCCTCTTGACACCGGATGCTGATAGTGAGGCGGAGGAAAGGCCTAATTGGAATAATAAAGGTGACCCGTTCCTCATGACCGTATCTGCCAAGGATAGGGCAAGCATGGCCAATAACTTGGAGGACTTTGTAAAAATTCGCCCGCTTGGGAGGGGTTGGAAAATAATTGTGCCGCCTGAGTTGGGCACTATTGTTTGGGAAGACGAGCAGCCTAATGCGGACGGATATTTCGGCTGCTATGAGGCAGCATTCCTGGCTGGTCTCCGCTTCCCCCTTCATAACACAATAAAGGCCATCCTTCGAGGATATGGCCTTGGTATTTGGCAGTTAACCCCCAACTCATGGGTTAACATATTGGGTTACATTGCCGCCTGCGAGATGCAGGAAATCAACCCCGGATGGGAGGCTTTCGCTCACATGCACTACTTGAGCAGAAGTCCAGGCGATTGGAGAGCCTGGTACACACTGACCACCTATCCCCAGTACCTGATGACTTTAGACAAACCGTCTAAGTGGTCCGACTGGAAGAACAGGTTTTACTTAGTCTCCGCCCCTACTAAGGCGGAGAACCGGGAGTATAGGGTATACAACCGGAAGCCAGCCCTTCTAGGTCACAAGTGCAAAAAACCTCGTGTTCCGGATGAGGACTATGAGCGAATAATAGAGTCCAAGTTCTTTGAACAGACCACCGCCACCCTCTCCAATGGGGACTTAATAAGTGTACCCAGAAATTGGGTACCTAGGCACGAGTTTCTTCGAGACGAGGCGTTTCAGTCCGTTTGTAAGCTTAGCACTCAGTTTGACAAACGTAGGTCACATTAGAGATTGCCCCTATCTTATCTTTTGTTCCTTGTTTTATTTGTTTCCCTGACCGGATGGGTTCTTTTATGCAGTACGTGGATTAGCAATGTTGCCTGCTGACAAGACACCAGCCAAGTCAGCCGCTGAAATCCGCAAGGAAAATGCGGAGAAAAAACTTGCTGCTCAGGCGGCAAAGAAGGTATCTTTCTTTTCCTTTTTTCTTTCCACATATATTTCCGTTTGGCTTCAATGCCGCCTGATTGCTATGTTTGTTTTTAGGATGGGAGCAAGGTGCCCCATTCTGTTTCAAAGATAATCAGGCCTAGGACTGGAGAGGAGCCGCCTGCCCAGAACAAGGCGAGGAAGACTTCCTCTTTGACGGTACCTAGCCGTCTGACGATTGGGGGTAAAACTCTCAAGAACCTCGGCTTGGGGTTCGATCTGTCAAAGAGGCAACCGGATGTTCCTGAAAAGGAGACGGAGCCGCCTAGGGCATCCGGTGCTTCAATACCGGCTGAGGGCAGTCACGACCCTCATCCTACCACCCAAGGTACTCTTGACCCCTTCAACCCTTCTTTTCTTGGCAAGCCTATGCGGGTCAAGTCGCACTCCCAACTCCAGCCAGAAGACTCTTCTGGCAGCCGGCAGTCGATAGGAGGGAAGTATGTTGCCTTCTCACCATCTGTTTCTGGTGCAGATCACTCCCCTCGCTGGCCGGATGTACAACGGTACGCTCGGGCCATGCTGAAGGCCGTCCCAAAAGAGGAGAAGGAGGCGATCCCAGGGATCCATTCCTTCAATGCCGACCAGGTTCTGGCCGGCCTGTCTGAGGTACATAATCCTTCAATTTGTTTTTCTAAGTTATTATGCCGCCTGGTCACTTCTGACACCGTCTAGGCTTTTGCAGTCAATGCTGCGCGTGGAAGGGCTCAAGAAGGCTTATGCCCGCAAGTGTGAGGAGGTAAGACGGGCTAAACGGGATGCGTCTGACGCCCATAACGTTGCCCAGTATTCCATGATTATGCATGAATTAAAAACTAAAAGCATAATCATGCAACAGGCGGACAACATCAAGCGGCTCCAAAAGGTGCTCGATGAAGCCGGCACCAAGATCCACAACCTCAAGGCGGAAAAGGATAATGCCGAGGCAGAGCTGAAGAAGGTGAACGACTCTTCCAAACTCCTGGAGGTGGCCAGGAAGGAGAACACAAATCTCCTTGCTGACAACGTCCGCTTGAAGGAGGCGGCAGCCAAGGCCAGCGACAATTTCAAGGCTACGCTGGAGGCTGAACAAAGTCGGCTCATCGAAGAGAATGAGCAAGACTGCATCGCTCGAATGCAGAAGGCTTCATCCCTGGTTCATCCGGACGCGGAATACACTGTCTGGGAACTTGCCTACAAGCATGCAGATCTTGCCATTGATGCGCAAGAAACGAACCAGCTGGCTCCGGAGCCTTATGAGGAGTGGGTCCAAAAGCAAATTGAGGCCATGCAGGAGAGAATCGAGAGGAGATTGCCCCTCCTGTCCCAGGAGCCGCCTTGCAGAGCCAGGAACAGGATCAGCCTCCTCAGCCTTAAGCTCTTAGTCATATTTTTCGGCCTGCGTGCCGTATGTTTCCATTGTATCTTTTACCGGACAGGGGTCCGGCTAACAATTGAACAAAGTTTTAAAGTTTGTTAATATAATTTTATGCCGACTGAGTCGGTCATCTTTGCAGCACTTGTTCAATTTTTTGCTTTTCATTGTTTGTATTCTTCTCTCTTTTTTTTTTTTTCGAACTGACAATGCCGAATGGGTTGACTATGCCTGCCCCTGGGTGGGTGATTGTTTAGTGCAAACACTAAGCAAATAGCCGCCCATACATTCCTAGATCAACAGTCAACCGATCTGGGTCAAGCGGGTTTAGGTCAGACATGTTAATGTGCTGATTGCTGCTTGAGTCGCACTTAGAGAGCGAATTAGGGGTCTATGTGACCGCTTGCATGAGAAGTCTGAGCCAGCCTATGCCGACTGACTATAGACTTCTTACCGGCTGGGTTAACTTGGGGTAACAATCATATGGAATCTTTCCCATATTGGTGGGAAGTAAATTAGATAGAATTTTCGCCGCCTTAGTTGCCTTGAGGCAAAGAAGGCTGTGGCTTGAATTGTAATTTCCCCGTCTAAGGTACCATGGGGTTACAGTCAAGATCTTTTAGTGGTTGGTTAATGGGCGCATAGGCCGGCTAGATTGCTTTTTGGCAATAGCCGTTTGCCCAACAAGATTTAATTTTGCCGCCTGTTTTGCCTTGGGGGCAATAACCGGTTCCATCTTGTTTGCAATAGGTCATTCGGACGGTCATGGGCTTAACCTAGCCGGTTAAGACCGTCCGACGTTTTGACGCTTAGAACAATATACCACCCGGAAGGGAGATGTTCTCTTCGACAAATTCACCCGGATGGGCGTTGCCGGATGTCTGTTCGGAGGTTAAGCAGACGGTTTATTGTAGGCTTTGTGCCGTTTAACCGACTAATTTAGGTACTTAGCATTTTTTGGTTTATGTTTGGGGAAAACGGTTGCCGATATTAAAAAACACCCGGATGTGTTGTTCACATCGGGACTTTGGTACACAAAGAAATTGAAATAAAGTATTTCTCATTAATTTACTCTATTTACAAAAAATGACTACATCTTCCTAGAAGTAGTACTTTTTCAAGTTATCCACATTCCAGGTCCTAGGTAGCTTCCTACCGTCTGGAGTTTCCAGGCAGTAGGTGCCGCCTCTGACTTCGTCATATATCCGATAGGGGCCTTCCCAATTGGGGTCAGCTTCCCTTGCTCATTTGCCCTGCCGGTGGCCTCCATCTTTCGTAGTACGAAGTCCCCAACTTTGAGAGGGCGCTTGCGTACTCTTTTGTTGTAAGCCCTCGTCATTCTCAGACGGTATATTTCATGACGTAAGGCGGCATTGCCCCTGCGTTCTGGGAGTGAATCCAATGCTAGGCGCATGGCTTCCCAGTTAGCCTCCTCGTCATAGAGAATGACTCGGAGCGTTGGCTCATAGAGCTCTATTGGCAGAACCGCTTCAGTGCCGTACGTCATTAGAAACGGGGTTTCACCGGTTGCCCCCTTCTCAGTCGTTCTGATGGCCCAAAGGACGTGAGGTAACTCATCCGCCCACAAACCACCGACTCTTTCAATCTTCTTTTTTATGCCGTCTGAGATGAGTTTGTTGAAGGCCTCAACCTGACCGTTTTCTTGGGGCCGGCCAACAGATGCAAAACAATGCGAGATCCCCTGATCTCCCAACCAATCCTTGAGGGCAGGCGTTTCAAACTGAGGACCGTTGTCAAAAACCATAGACATAGGCACCCCAAACCGGGTGATGATGTTTCTCCATATGAAGGAGATGATGTCCTTTGTCTTGATGCCTTTGACCGCCTCGGCCTCAACCCACTTAGTGAAGTAATCTACAGCCATCAGAATGTATCTCCTACCACCTGAGGCAGGCGTGTAAAGACTTAAGATGTCCATGCCCCACTTTGCAAAGGGAACTGGGCTGTAGATTGCCGTCAGATCGGTTGTCGGAAGGTGTATGAGCCGGGCAAACTTCTGACATTTGTCACACTTTTTCACCAAGTCCATGGCATCCGCCTCAAGGGTCGGCCAAAAATAACCTTGTCGCCTAGCTCTCTTTGCTAGAGTCCTGCCGCCTATATGTGAAGCGCAAAAGCCCGCATGCAGATCCTCTAACACTTCTCTTCCTCGCTCTGGGGTTACGCACTTCAGTAACAGCTGGAGGTACCCCTTTCTAAAGAGTTTCCCCTTGAACATTTCAAAGCTTAGAGCTCGCTTTTTAAGTGCTGCCGCTTCTGAAGAGGCATCCGACAGAGTGCCGTCTACCAAATAGTCCCGGATAGGGTCCATCCAGGTGGAGCTTCGGTCTAAGATTCCAATGGGATCATGCTCGATACTTCATTTTTCCATGACCTCCCAAAAGACTGACCTAGGCGTGTCACAAGTGGCGGATGAGGCCAGTTTGGACAAGGCATCCGCCTAGTTGTTCTCTGACCGGGGCACTTAACACAAACGGAACTCATTAAATTCCCCCGCCTCCTCTTTGACCGCCTGCAGGTATTTGATCATTGCCGGATGGGTGGCCTCGTAGTCACCATTGAATTGGCTGACGATTAATTGAGAGTCTGAGCAGGCGTCAACTTTTCTTGCCCCTGCCGCCTTACACATGCGCATACCGGCTAACAGGGCCTCATACTCAGCTTCATTGTTTGAAGCTTGAAATTTGAACCATAGAGCATATTCGTATGTATCTCCTTCTGGAGATTTGCAAATTACGCCTGCACCACAGCCGTTTACCGTAGAGCTTCCGTCTACAAATAACTTCCAAACCTGCCCAGCATCTTCCGGCTGAGCCGGCCTAGTCATTTCGACAATGAAGTCAGCAAACGCCTGACCCTTCACTGCCCGTCTAGGCTCAAAAGTTATTTCCAGGCTCTGAATTTCGACAGCCCATTTGATCATTTGGCCGGATGACTCCATGGTGGTTATTGGTCGTTTGAGTGGCTGATCAGTATAGACAGTTACCGAATTGGCCAAGAAGTATGGCTTCAGCCGCTTGACTTCTTTGTAGAGAGCCAGCCCAAATTTTTCAATCATTGGGTACCAGAGTTCAGCATTTCTGAGAATATGGCTGATGAAATACGCTGGAAGCTGTTTGCCGTCTCTCTCAGCAAGGAGCACGGCTCTAAGGGAGTGATCTGAGACGGCTAGGTACATGTAGAGAACCTCCTTGGGCAGGGGGCTCACTAGTCTGGGCAACGAGTGCAGATGTTGCTTTAACCTTTGGAATGCCACCTCAGCCTCTTCTCCCCATTCAAATCTGGACCTCTTCCTTATTGCTTGGAAGAAGTAAAGGCACTTGTCGCCTGACCGGCCGAGGAATCTTCCTAATGCCGCCAGACAACCGGTTAACCTTTGGGCCTCCTTGACGGTTCGGGGTGATTGCATGTCAATCACCACCTGGACCTTCTCCGGATTGGCCTCTATGCCTCTTTCATCAATCAAGAATCCGAGAAACTTCCTAGACTCAACACCAAAGACACACTTCTTGGGGTTAAGCATGACCTTGTGCCGCCTGAGTGTGGTGAAGGTTTCTCGGAGGTCAGCTAGGTGATCCGCCTGGAGCTTGGATTTGACTATCATGTCGTCTATATACGCCTCTACATTCCTTCCGATTTGATGGATGAAAACCGTGTTGATCATTCGCTGGAAGGTAGCAGGCGCATTCTTCAAACTAAACGGCATCACCGTGTAGCAATACAACCCCTGATCAGTGACGAAGGCCGTCTTTTCCTGATCCTTCTTCCATATGGGAATTTGATGGAAGCCTGAGTAGGCGTCCATGAAACTCATCAGGGCATGGCCGGCTGTAGAGTCAACCAGACTGTCTATCTTAGGAAGCGGGTAGCTATCCTTTGGACATGCCCTGTTTAGGTCAGTGTAGTCTACACACATCCGCCAGGTACCATTCGGTTTTTTGACAAGGACCACATTAGCTACCCAATCCGGGTAGTAGCATTGCCGAATGAACCCAGCGTCGAGGAGCTTTTTGACCTCGGCGGCTGCCGCCTGTGACCTCTCCTCGCCATGATCCCTCTTCTTTTGCCTAACTGGCTTTATTTTAGGATCAACAACTAGCTTATGGACAGCTAGATCCGGGCTGACGCCTGGCATCTCTTCCACTTCAAAGGCAAAGAGGTCGTTGAACTCTCTCAGGAGTTGGAGCAAGTCTGCCCCCAACTTTTCAAAAGCAACTGTCCCAACTTTAATGGTTCTGTCAGGATGGCTGTCGTCCAGGACGACATCAATGCTTTCACCAGCCGGCTGGGGACGGGAGTCATCCGGCCTTTCCCCGGCTAGTGATTGCTATTTCATTTTCTTGGCGGGGGCCAGTTGGTCTGCCTTTCTCTTTGTACCGCCTGCCTTTGGGACAGGCCCGACTTCTTTGTCATCGAGGTCAGTAGGTTCCTCGCTGGGGCCGGCTGCATGGGCAGTCGACCAACGTCTGAGAGATAGCACTCTCTAGCCGCCTTTTGGTCCCCGCTTAGGGAGCCTACTGACCCATTATCCCTCTCGAATTTTATCAGCATGAGGGAGGGGATGATGACCGCCTTGGACTCATTGAGGGTTGGACGTCCCAATATGAGGTTGTAGGCAGTCAGCTCTTCGACCACCAGAAACTTGACGACCATGTGCCGTCCTTCCCCCTTGCCTCCCAGCCGGATGGGTAAGTCTATCCTACCTACCGGATGCACTACCCCACCTCCAAAGCCGACTAGGGGGTGGGGGGCCTTGTGCATACTGCTGGGCTTGTATTTCAGCTTCGCTAAGCAGCGATAGCTTATCAGGTCAGACGAGCTCCCGGTATCGATTAGGATCCGGCCAACTCGTTGATTGGCAACTTTACATTCGATGACAATGGGGTCATCGTGGGGCCGCCTAACAGTACCCCTGTCTTTCTCAGAGATGAAGACTTCTGGAAAGACGTCTTTCGATGCCTGACCTTCGTCCTCTGAGGCGGACAACTTCCTGATGTTGTCCTTGGCACCCCGAATGGTGGGGCCACCACTAGCAAAGCCGCCTGCAATGGTGTAGATATGTTCTTCATCTGTGTCAGAGCTCACCACCAGCTTCTTAGACGACTGCCCTCCATTTGTAGGGTTACCCTTGGAATTTGTCAGAGAGGACTTCAAAACCCCCTCATCGGCCAATCGGTCCAATAGCCACCTGAGGCTGTAGCAACCATTAGTGTCATGGCCAATGTCCTCATGGAATTGGCAATACTTGCTCTTATCCCGATTCTTGACAGCGCTCTTTAGAGGAGCCGGCTTTTCAATGGTCAAGCGGTTTTTAATCTCCATGAGGATGGAGGAGCAGCTTGTTGAACTCGTACTTGGGGACGTACGGTTCCAACTTCTT